ATTTTTCGTTTTAAAACCGGAATACCGGTATTTTTATTATCTTAAACAAACGTAAACAAAATTGAGAGTTACTAGTACAAATATAAAAAAATGAATATACAACTACAACTATATTCAACTAAACAATAATAAAACAATAAGTTTATTGTTTTAATAATAATTTATCAAAACTATATCCAATTTGATTAATTCATTATCAGTATCGAGTATATCAGTATTATTATCTTTTCACCACAAACTATCTTATGAGTAAGGAAGACCAAAAACTCATAAAAGATCATATTACATTATTATAATAAACTGTATTGTCTGTATCCGATGTGTTAAATTAGCTAAATCTCCAATGTTTCAACAAAGTAATTTTACCACACTAATTTAGGATTCGATACTTTATCGAGATAAATAATAAGATACTATAATTGTTGAGTATTGTTATTTAAAACAATGTGATGGTTCTATAGTATTTTCAAACTTCGAAACGTGTTCGATAAATAATTTTATAATTGTAATAAGAAGCAAAAATATTTAGTAATATTTTGTTGATTATGAGTCTGTATGACATAAAATATTTTGGCGCAAATTTTACTTAGAAAACCGTTACATTTTTACATAACATGAAACAAACATCATTATCCATCAGTCTAATTCTATTTATTGTAACACGATATGAAACCCTTAGTAAAGCAATAAATATTCAGTTTAATGACGAGTTGAGATAATATTTGACATTTGTTTATCCTATAAAGTCACTTAAAGATATAGCTGTTTATGCGATCATGGAATTTAAAGATAAATTTGTTCCGAGAAATTTAAACTTTAGTGTATTATGTATCAGATAGCCCTTATGTAAAAATACCAAAAATACCGGTATTTTTAGAGTAAATACCGGTATAAATACCGCCGAAAAATCGGGTATTTCGGTATACCGGTATACCGGTATTTTGGTGTACTAGTATACCGGTATTGCATTCCCTAGTTAATGTTATGGCAGAATATAATAGTAAGAAGAAAAGATATTAATATCAAACAGAACAAATCCAATCATTTATTTATTAAGGATGACTTGTAGTATTGTATAAAATCTTATATAACATTTAAAGTACTTTTTTATTTAATTTTTCAACCCCAATCAGAACTACATAACCTTTCATATTCTATAAGCTGCAATGTACTTAAATTATTAAAAAATCTCCTTCGTTTCTAGAATCCAAGGCATAATGACCCCCTTTTCCTCCATCCTTTTTCTTGGCTACTGTCATATAGGTCAATATATTTGCTTACGGTTGATTTATTTTCAAGAGCTTATTAATATTTTCTTCAGAATAACCAGGTTACCCATATATTAGACACGATATTATCTCATTTGTATCTGCTTTCATCAACATTTTTATTATATTTATAGAATTTAAACACTCTTTCTGAAATTAAATTTTTTTTTTCTTTTGTTGCAGGATCAAAATTATTGATATATTCTCTAGTGTTAATAAAAGCCATGGCCATTCGCTTGTTATGGTAAGTCACTTCTCTGTGAATATCTAAACTTTTATTATAGCATAGACATTTGTTATAATTATAATTCCAGCTAATAAAGTAAGAGCAGATATAAACTTCGATTTAGAAGTTTTACATATACTTAACGTGGTATTCTAGTTTAGGTGCATGAATTTTATAATTTTTGAAAGGCCGTTTGTAAGAAAAAAACAAACAATATTTTTAAAAAACTATTTTTATAAGTTAATTATTGTCGTAAGAATGCAGAAAAAATGAAATTACAAAGTTTCAAATCTAGCAGAAGATGAAGTGGGGTTCTCAAAAAATTGACACGTAACCGCATACTTGATTTTGGTCTTCCAAATCATCTGAAAAAAAAAATCTCGAATAATGTCGCATTCTTATGAACTACGGGCAACTTTCAAAAAGCATAAAATAACGAATGTCTCGATTTTTTGAATACACAGGCCAACAAAAAAAAGTTTTTTTTTTGGTGCCTCAAATGTTAGAGCTGATTCTTATAGTATTTTTTGCGCTGATTTCAAATCTGCAAACCATTTTTTTGTATCAGCTCTAGTTTTTGAGATACAAAGAAGTTGCCGAAACCAGGTCCATTCGAGGTCGTCACGGAAAAGAACTTTTCACAGTGTCAACTAATGTCCCAACTAAGGCCGAATGGGTCTTGTAAGTTTGTATGAACGAGTGGGCATATCTCATTACAATAACATTCTGAATTGTATTACTATTTTTTACTTTCGTTCCTTATATTAGGTGCGCAACTAAGTTCTCGCTGTTTGTCAGTATATGGCTTTATCAGTAAGGGTTGGTCGTTTTTGACAAATCCAAAACGTCTTGAAGCAAGCTTAGAGTAAGTAAACAAACTGCGGTGACACATAATTGATTTCGTTTTTGCATTATATACTTCTGGTTGAGTGAATATGTCCAATTTTATGCCTAACAATCGTCATTTGCGGGGAGTATTGATTTTCGTCTTCCATTAAAAAAAAAACGGCAGCAAAGTGCATCGAGAGCTACGGAAATGTTGCTCTGAGCGAACCAACATGCCATGAGGGGTTTTGTCGCTTCAAAAATGGTGATTTTGATGTTGACGACCACCCTCGTGAAGGAAGGCCAAAACCTTCAAAAACGCTAAATTGAAGGCCTTGTTCGAAGAGGATTCGTGCCAAACTCAAGAAGATCTTGCTTTAGAATTAGGAGTTACCCATCAAGCCATTTCCAAGCTATAGTATGCGTCGGGGATGATTTAGAAGCAAGAAACTTCGGCTCCTTGTGAGTTGAAGCCAAGAGACGTCGAGCGTCGTTTTTTCGCCTGTAAACAACTGCTCCAGCGGCGAGAAAAAAAGAGGTTCTTCATCACATCGTGACAGGTGATAAAAAATGAATACATTACAGCAATCCAAAGACGAGAAAATCTCGGTTCGGCCGAATATTCACTTCGAAGGTTATGCTCTACATATGGTGGGACCAGGTCGGTGTTATTTGTTATGAGCTGTTGAAACCGAGTGAAACCATCACTGGAGAACTGTATCGAACTCAATTGATGCATTTTTTTATAATAAAGTTACATTTTCATCGAAAAAAACAGCGAGAACTTAGTTGCGCACCTAATATCGCATAATATATCATATATATCGTATCTTGAAAACTAAAGCTCATAGAAAAAAACCAATGTCATTTTTGAAATCAGCGCCCCAAATATACTTAAAAACAGTATTAAAATCGTTTGCACCATTTTCTTTGTTGACCTGTGATATAGTGAATTTAAGCTTATATCATAATAAAGAGAAATCCATAAAAAAGATCCTGTAAAAATGTCGGTTCAGTAGAAGTTGAGAAATCGTGGGTATCCTTACCGAAAAAGACAGTTGCGGGAAAAACGAGTTCAAAGTTTCGCGTAATAATAATGTTTTGGTACAAATTTCAATTCAAAGAGTTCGGAGATCCATGTTTTTGTTTCTTAAATTTCTGAACCTAAACATGTTTAATAACATTCCAAACTTCAACAGAGGTCGATTATTGTGGTCAAACTCTTTTAATGTATCTATATCTCCGAAAATATTTGAAATTTTAAATCATCTTGTAGGTCAGACTGGGTGCAGTTGTGCCACTTTTTTTTGATCAGCAATAATTTTGTTGATTTACCTTACCAGCTAGCTAGGAGAAAAGTAAATTAAATGATAATTTGAATATTTGTCTATGAAGGAATACTGAAATGCTATCCTTTAATACGATGGAGAAGTTACAAAATCAAATCATACAATAAATGGGCGAGCGTCACAATCGTGGACGGTTTGACGATGTTTTAGGCACAAACATAGGTTATACGGGAAGCTAACAATATTTAAACAATCACAAAGCATATGAATATATTATACCACAATATAATAAAACGTAACTTTTGAAACAATGTTAACAAAAAATTAACTGAACTATGCGATCACTTCCCTTCTTATAATTAATAAGTCACTATCACGACTAGTCTTATTATTTTTTTTAAAATCAGTCTAAATGTCAATTAATAATAATTATCAGTTTACTAATTAGACAAAATATTACAATAACTATGTATCAATATACTTAGATATACTCGATTTTACCTGAAACGACTTTCTTGGCACTTGATCCAATTTACGCCATCCCTACTTTAAGAATATGAGCTTCCACGAACCAGAAAAAATCTTTTTTTGTATTGCTTTTTCCTTTTCCTTTCTCTTTCGCACTACAAAATGCCTTAGTTCAGTTATCTAAAAAAATATAACAAATATGTTACAACCGTTACCCACAAAATTTGTCACGACCGCCCCCCAACCCACACTTTTGGAGACAACAACAAACTTACTTTTGACTCTTTAAAAACAATGCGACCTGTAGATCATGTTAATGTAAAGCGCGAATAGGTAACTTTTATAAATAAACTATATATTATAACATATCAATTACTAAATGTCTTCACTAAAACAGATTGTATTTTGTATGATAAATAAATAAAAAAATGTAAAGCGCGGATTAAAAGCAATATTACACGGATAGTTTAGCTGTTATAACGAATGTCACTACCGTTGCAAAACCGTACCCAAGTCTCCCTTATATAAATTCTTGAATAGGTAAATTTATTGTTAGAAAATATAAAAAAGTGATTTCTTAACACTTCTAGACTAGAACACCCCTTTAAAAATGTCTACGTAAGAGTTAAGCACAAACAATAAATACTTCTTAAAAAACTCATTACCACAGTTTTGTAGTCGAATTTTAAACACGTTGGTATGAAACACTGTCGTTTGACTTTTAATTAAAAATCTATGATAAAATAATACGTTAATCATTTTTACATTTTTATTGCGATTGTTTCTGAATTTTAGTAACTAGCTTTTTCTTGACATTTAATAATATCTTAGAAATGAAATAATGATAGAGATATAATTTCTCAATTTGTGACTTTAGACAACAAAGCAGTAGCAGCTCAAGCGGCCGCGAATACAGATCGCGCTCCGTCCGGCGTCGCGTGTGACAATGTCGTCGCGCCTCCACAGCTTCTATACGGTGGAGGTTGGGGACACCAAGTTCACCATCCTCAAGAGATACCAGAATCTAAAGCCAATAGGCTCAGGAGCACAGGGAATAGTCTGGTGAATAATCATTACACTTAATATTTCATTAGTTTTGATATTTTCCGGTTAGCTGAAAGCGAGAATACTCGATGTGTAATATCAAGCGCAAATTATAAACTAAATAATTTTTTTTTACTAAATAGTGAATAAAATACTGAATTCAATCATAGTGAAATTTATACGTATAAATATAATATTGCACTTTCGAAAAATCACAAGCTAAATAATTTTGTCGACTAAATAATTGTGTTTGCTATGCTTTGAATAACATTTTGTAAACTATGAATAATTATAAGTTCTATATATATATATATATATATATATATATATATATATAAGTGCAGTAAACGGAGAGGAAAAAAAGGGTATCAACTCTGAATTTTTTACTGTGCTCCGATTTGCATGAAATTTTAGAATTAGGTTCATCTTACCCTCAAGTTCAAAAGTGAAAACAATTCGGACTCCACGTATCAAGGTAAGATGAACCTAATTCCAAAATGTTATGCAAATCGGAGCACAGTAAAAAAATTCAGACCTAAAACGCTCCATTATATATGTTCCGTTCATATTATGTTTATAATAAAAAAATATACATGGATTTCACTATTGTTTTTTCTCTACTTTTCACTTTGTTTATATTTGCCAAACTAGCAATTGATAAATGGTCTTTTGTATAAAAAAATGTGACATTATTGGCCATGTACACAATTTTTTTATGAATGCAAATTCTATAATATTATTTGATCAGATGAAATTATTGAGCTTGTGTATAGTTGATACACCATATCTTTAAAAACTATTGACATATGCTGATGTGACAGAAACAAGCTGCTTATTGTATATTTTTGAACTCATTGTATATATATATATATATATATATATATATATATATTTGTGTGTGTACATATGTATATATGTATAATATGCCTGAAACATCTAGTGAACTATATATTCGAATTATGTTAATGATTTTGTCACAATTTCACTGGAATATAATATCAGTTCTAGTTCGCAATTTTGATTTTGAGTATATATTTATACGTCTATATATTTCTAATATTGTAAATTAAAATCAGATTTTTTTCACTTCAATAATTCTAATTTTCGAACTAGAATTGATAACAATTATTAGGCGCATGCATACTGATTTATATTTAGATATTTATAAGTGGAATATTATTTTTAATTTGTTTAATTATGGAGCATTTAGTTCAGTTTTAAGTTTTTTTACTTCAACTAATTTCACTCTTGATACTTTGTTACATGATCTTTAATTTCAAATCTTTGCATTTTTGCTATCTTTCACAATTTTCAATTAACTTTCATTTTCACATCTACTTAATTCATCATATTTACTTTATATGCAATAACAAATCTGAAATCCTTGAAAACTACCAGTTATGTGTTTGGAAAAAACATAAACTGAAGTAAATTGTTTACAAATAATTGAAAAAAAAAAATACAATTCAGGATGCCTTAGTCAAACGATCAATAGATGCATGTTTATTAAATTTTGTTTCATATATAGTTAAATATAATTTGCAGTTAATTTTATTTTTAGCATTAAGCATCGTTGTGTTTATTCTTTTCATAGATCTAGTTATATTGTTTATTTAAATTACTGTTGTTAATTAATTTTGTATGTGTGCAAATCTGTTACATGATGAAATTTGATCTGATATCTTCTATTTGAGCACTGTTGCATGGTTCCGATCGAATAGTATCGAAGGTATGACAATAATAGTTCGAAATTATCTCAAATTTTTTTACGTGAGAGCTCAAGAGGAAAACCAAACCAGCTCTATCAAGTCTTATTTGTCTGTCAAATGTGAAATTACTATTTTGTAATAGATAACATTTTTTACCGTTTTTTATGACAAAGAGTATAACTGAACCGAATAATCAAAATCTGCATTATTCTTGACTTCTATATTATCTTACTCTTTTCCTTCATAATTATTTTCTAAAATCGATATATATATATAATAATATATATAAAATTATAGAATATTTTTTCAATCATCAATTTCTTCGATAGTTGGTCAAATTGGTCAACTTTTTTCCAAACTAACATGAATGCTAATTATACTGACATATGTACTTATGCATATATTACTGTTGATAAAAAAATGTATATAAAGAACTTATTTATATTGTTCAACAAACATGTAAAAATTAAAATATAAATCGAATTCGAAATGATGATATCTAACGTTCAGCTAGCGTTCTGCACAAACCATTGTACTTGCTTTCGTTTCCTTGGATACCATATCGTCTTAATATACCAAAAGAATAAAGGGGTGAGTGCGTAACGGGCAGTGTTGTGCGCCAGCCCTGGTGAGAGTTTGAAGACCATGGACGGCCTGGACACGGGTTTTGCTGCATGGGAATTCGGCGACACCGTGTTCCGCGTGCCTGTCAGATATCAGAACTTGAATCCCAAAGGAGTCGGGGCGCAAGGATCCGTCTGGTAAGTATCAAATGCCGACAAGACGAAAGGACTTTCATAAATTTTAGGTATATGGACTTTGGAATAAGCTTTGATTGCTGAATTGTAACGATTTTTTTAACAATTCCAAACTAAGAGAACATTTCAATTCATACATTTTTAAAGATGAGCGAAGTGCATTATCAAGTTTAGCTTAATTCTTATAATTCTATACATATATGATATGTTTTGTTCTGATAATAAAACTCATTTAAAGATTTAAGACGGTAATTATAATTATAAACTACGATAATTATTATTAAAAAGTGTATATATAAATTATATTATCGGGATAATGCATCTGGTATTATTTTTAACTGAACTAACAATACTAATAACACATTATTGCAAATTATTCTAATATCAAACCCCTTTGATTCTTGCAATTTCTTTAAGCATAGCCTAATAAACTCTTAAATGCTTTGTAAATTTAATGTGCCTCATTCAACAGATTGCGATTCTTCATTAATATCATGGAGTTATGATCTTTCTCTCGCATGATCTTTGTGTATTATTACATTATTTTATGAACTAAAACCTAATTTATCTTTTTTCCCTACAATAATGTTATTTCAGCGCTGTACTACAAAAATTAATATACAAATTAATTTATATATGTTCACTTACATACATGTAATTTTCATGTTTCTTCAATTTTTTTCTATATTGTAAAAATAAACAAATTTTTTTCACGTTATGAAAATAATCTGAAAGGGAAATCTAACGTTCAGAGTTGAGATGTGCTTCTTTCCATACAGGTATCAAATTATCATAGCTTTGTTAAAAGGAAAATCTGATATTCTATATTTTATATATTAGACATTTTTATTATTATTTAATTTGGACAAAATAAATACTTCCAGTTAAACGATAACTGTTTCACAATGCAAATTCAACATTTTTGCAAACCTCATAACTAACCCAACTTTGAAAATGTTTCAGGTTATTTTGCTGTGCAGGTAGATTGATAATAGAAACTTTGAGCATGCATGCATGAAATAGATGTTTCTGATATAGTTTTATTTTTATGCTTGATTATACTTTAATTTTATTACTGCTTTTTAACGAATGGTCTTTGCATGAACTTTGATATTCTATTGCTTTTGTAAATTTCTATGATTATCTTTGCATTTGTTTATTTTTTTATTAATAATTAATATTTTTCATTCAATTTAGTGCGGCGTTTGATACCATATCTCAACAGAATGTTGCGATCAAGAAGCTGTCAAGGCCGTTCCAGAATGTGACCCACGCAAAACGAGCCTATCGCGAATTCAAGTTGATGAAACTTGTCAATCATAAAAATGTGAGTTTTTTATTTTAGATAATTTTGTTTTTCATAATGCAGTGGTGCCTCGAATACTACGTACGCCTCGCACAATTGGCGACTTTTTTTTTTTGATGCATCACAATGAACTTTGCTTCTCACAACATACTAGACAAAATACTTACTGGTTGCAAAAATATGTTATTCATTTAGTTTCAATATCAATCAGAAAGCCTCGATATCCCAAGTTATTTGCGACCATGGAAATTTTTGCTCTCGCTGTGAAAATATACTTATTACTATTTTCGTTATTGGATAATTCATCTTTACACCTGAAAGATTTTAATAAAATTTTGGAACAGGATTATCAAACACCAATTAGAAAAAGGGCAGTCCGCCGATTTCAAATGCCATCATAAAGAGTTTTTTAATTAAATCAAAAGAAGTACAAGTAATCATCAATGTTAAGTTTTCAAGCATGACTGACGCGATGGCATAATGAAGATCATACCTTCACGCCTATCATTTCCGATAAGTTTTGAAGAGGAGAGTTAAACATAAAACTACAGTTTCCGGAGTTACATGGGCAAAAAGGGAGATAGGACTAAACAAACTTCCTCTCGTAACGAATTAAGTACGTTTGCGATACACCACTGAACTTTTTTTAGTATTATTTTTGGGCTTAGCCAGAGAGAACAGCAAGGAGACCTTACGTTCACTATTCGATGATCTAAGAATTTTTAATAAATGGTTATTTTTATTGTTGAAACTTTACTTCGGTCTGCTACTCCCTATCGAAACCATGGCTACTCCCATGACAATATTTATGAACACTTTTGACATGTTTAAAAAATCGACATATAAGCGCTTTCCTAAACTATTTTGTAAACTTCTTAATCCTTCTCAACTTGTACGCCTATTCAAGATAATTTTGGTTTGTCTTCAATTGCTAATAACCATAAATAATTATTTTTATTATGTTTTTCTTTGGTAGTTTTTAAGCTCATTAGCGTTCAACTTATTTCCTGTTTTTTTTTTCTTTATAGAATTTGCATACAAGGAATATTTTTTCTTTACACATATAAGTTTATTTTTTTACATCTTACAAATGCATAGTTTATATTGAAAATTACTATCTTACAATTATTCATAATTCTGTGGTATTTATTCTCTTTTATCTTTTTTAGATTATTGGACTGTTAAATGCCTTCACGCCACAAAGAAGCTTAGAAGACTTTCAGGATGTTTACTTAGTGATGGAATTAATGGATGCAAATCTGTGTCAAGTTATACAGATGGACTTGGATCATGAGCGAATGTCATATTTACTTTATCAAATGCTATGCGGCATTAAACATTTACATTCAGCTGGCATTATCCACAGGGTTTGTATATTTTACCACTTACAACTTCTTGATACTTTTAGTGGATAATTATTTCTATTGAAACAAATGGACTGCTACTGATTTATTAGTGATTTTGATCAATTTTATTGCAATTATCAGTTGTTTGATAGAATTTTTATTGTTCATTCATTTTTGTTTACTTTTGGACAAAACGACAAAGTATTATTTTATAAGAACTACAGGGTAGTTCAATCGAGATCGAAAAAAGAGAATTAAAGTATGTCAAAATGCTTTTTACTTTTGCTCTAACTACTTCTAAAAACAGACAAAAGGATCAAACGGTAAAAAGATGAAATTTGAATTTATTTTAAATAACTATATTATCTTCTCCTAAGGCCGGCGAAAGCTGGTTGAGATATATGATTTGTTCCCTTTGGGCTCATGCGTTATTAACTAATGTCCCAAATAATTTATTTTTGAACTGTCTTGAAAATTAGTATTTCATTATATTTTTACTCTATATGCCATTTCTCGGACAAAATATTGTGTAATTATTTATATTTTTCCTTAATAAATTTTTATTATAGTTTCTACCTAATTTAAAGACTATGTTACTGGTAATCAATGATTCTAAGATCAGTAAATCCATTGCGACCGAATATAATATTCATAAGTAAATAAATATAATTGGAAAACAAAACACCATGTTATTTGGTCCATACTTCTCCTATATCTCTAGTAATAAAAAATATAACGTTGCATATTCTGAATTTGATCATAGTCCAAACCTAACAATTGCCCTTTTTGTTCCATATTCTGACATATAATGAGATTCACTTTTTTATGGTGTTAATGCATCCTAGTTTTAATTTAATTTCTCTGGTTTTTTGTGTAATTTTTCTTTTACGTATTATTGATAGTGCATCGTCAATATTGCGTTTTTCACACGTCGAAAATTTAGGCATTTTATGTAAGATTTGGAAAAAATCTAGTGTTAAGATTTTTTATATTTTAATCAATAAGTATTTCAAACATCATGTTGTTTACTACCCTTCTAAATATTTCCTATTTAATTGCCTAGGATCTAAAGCCGTCCAATATCGTCGTAAAGTCCGACTGCACACTCAAAATTCTTGACTTCGGTCTGGCACGTACTGCCGGCACAACGTTCATGATGACGCCTTATGTCGTGACGCGTTATTATCGCGCACCAGAAGTCATCTTAGGAATGGGATACAAAGAAAATGTCGACATTTGGTCTGTTGGCTGCATCATGGGCGAAATGATACGCGGAGGTGTGCTGTTTCCCGGAACTGATCATATAGATCAATGGAATAAAATTATTGGTAAGTAGGAAAGATAATCAGATAAATCTAATATCTAGTTCTGACAACTTAACTTTATGAAGAAGTTCTTCTAGGTATTATTATATTCAGAATCATTGTATCCGCTGATTAAAGCGCCAACTCGCCTTAGTCCTACCACTTATAGACTTAGTTATATCTACTACTTAAAAGTATATATAGTATTAAGTCTGAGATTAACTTTTCTTTAATTATTATTTACCAAGTCAAACTCAATTATTAACTAGTTAACTGTCATTGACGAATATACTCGTCATGGAGAGGTAGCGGAAATTTGTGTATTGGGGAGTATACTCGTCGAACATATAATACTTGAACCATTGGCTAGTTAGATTGCAATTTTTGAAACGGACAAAAACGAAAAATCTTTTCAAATTTGAAGGTATTCAGAATAGTTTGAGGCTAACCCAGTTAATACTTGCAAGTTATCTGGTTAAACTAAAGCTTAAAGTGAATGAATAGTCTTCAAGTAACAAATATACTTAAAAACTATTAAGTCGCAGGGTGCTAAGTATGAGCCATTAAGATGAGTCCGAGATAAAGCCATTATTTTTTGTCTTACCTACTTTGTCTTAAGCTCCAGGAAAAAACCATTAGAATCATATGTTATTATTACCTTAAAAGTCTTACAACTGAGTCCAAAATATTGTAAGAAACTTCTCAAGTCACATATTTCACATAGTTTGATATCCTTCTAATTGTAAATAAGAAGGCAATAGTTCTATTTAACGGTACCCAATGTTGTAATTTACATCAGAGAGAGTAAAGCCGGAGTACGACTTAAGCAACCTTGTCCTAAGTGGATATATTTTAAAGTAACCGATAACCTCTATGGAGGCCTCTAATCATTTGCTTTACCGGATGAGACTGGCTCTTCAAGTGCCAGCTATCCTGAGGCAAACTTCAGAGAGAACCAGCTACTAGATGGTTCAATTAGTCTTTAGCCCCTATGACCAGTTCCGATCGATTAGCACGTTAGAATTGCTACGGTCCTCCATCAGGGTTTTCCTTGACTTCGACCTGACCAGGCATCGTTAACCTAATAATTTTTTTCTACTGTTTATTTTATATTTTTTTAAATATTTAATATTGAATTAAATTCGTTTCTAGTGCAATATGTTTGTTATATATGATTATGTTAACAAAGAAGTAGAATGTAATGAAAGCATTTTTCAATTTTGCAAAATAAACCTATATTTTTTATCGGATATTTTACCAGCGCGACTTGCACTGTTATTGACGAATATACTCCTCATGAGATCGATTCGAACGACTGTGCACACTGCAAGACGTGAGCTACACAGTTAATTTGTCAAATATTTTGGAATTTGAAAAATGTTAGAAATAATAAATATATAATTTGAGCTGCCAAATTTAACCTAGCCAGCCTCATGGGGAAAAATCGCATTATTAATACTTTTGTTTTTGAATAGTAGAAGTGTTTTAGTTACTAAGTTGAAAATTTAGGAATTAGATGATACCCTTTAGATAATACTTATTGTTTTAAATTGATATATATATATATATATATATATATAAATAAATAAAATTTTGATAAATTTCTAGAACAATTGGGCACCCCTAGTCAGGCCTTCATGCAGCGCCTGCAGCCGACGGTTCGCAATTACGTTGAAAACAGGCCGCGTTACCAGGGCTACTCATTCGACAGATTGTTCCCGGACGCCTTGTTCCCATCCGACAGTAATGAGCATAATCGACTGAAAGCTAGTCAGGCACGCGATCTGCTCAGTCGCATGCTGGTTGTCGACCCAGAACGACGGATATCAGTCGATGACGCGCTTTTACACCCGTACATAAATGTGTGGTATGATGAAGGAGAAGTCAACGCTGTAAGTTATATTATTGTATATTATTCAATTAGTTTGTACTAGAGTTGGGCTTATCATATTCTAAGCCGGATCAGTTAGAATACAACTTCGCTTCTGAGAGGAGTTACAACCGCAACTCCGTCCACCCTGGAACCTAATACCCAATACAAATGTAAATGTGTTCAATAGCTTGTTGTTCATGTGACTAAGAATTATACACTAGAACTATAAACAGTTCAAACACATTTGTTCATATTATTACAAAAAATTACTATTTAAGCATTTCAATATGCATACAAATCTCATATTCCATGCCGAAAGATAGGCAATGAAAATACTGAAATATCAAAATATTAAACCACGAAAGGAAAACTAATATTTATTAATAAAATATTTAAAATTACATCATTTTTTTCAATTATATTTAACTTTCCATAGGGTAAGTTATAGTAATGGCAAAAAAATAAAAAATAATAATTTTTGCATATCTTTACGTTTACGAGGTTTCTGAACATTCCGGCATACCTTAGAATAAATGCATGTATGTGTGTGTGTGTGTGTGTGTGTATGTATGTTTGGATACAATTTTTTGTTCACGATTTCGGGTGCACGAATTAACCGATTTGAATGATTCAAAAAACATTTTGTTTATATTGACGAAATGAAGAATTGATTAAATTTTTGGAAAGACAGGCCTAGCGGTTTTGGAGATATAGAGGAAAAAGTGAAAAAAAGTGATGTTTAGCGGTCGAAAATGATCATTAGACATATTATGTTCATCAAATTATCAGATATTTAATAATTTTTTAAAAAATGAGTACTAATTTTGTTAAAAAAATTTTTAGTTCTGTATCAAGATTTTTAATTTTTCAAGTTCACTTCTACATTTCAAACAAATATCAAAATTATCAGCAAAAAAATGTTTTTTAAAGTTAAAAATATACAAAGTTTTATACTTTAATTACAAATTTTACATTTATAATTTATTTTAAAAATGTATAAATTTTATATACGTTATTCTAATCATAAGCAGTATATTCTCTGATAGATCTCCTATTCGGCATGTTCATGTTTTATGTGAGAAGAACGTTGCTATATAATGTATGAGTGATAAAAGATCAAATATTTATAATTATCTATTTGAAAATATTTAAAACAAGTGTTATTAATGATTGATCAATATTTATTGCTACTGTTTTTTTTACCTGGAATGTTTAATTATGGTACGGAAAGTTCCAGCAATTTGCCTTAAAGCACGATGCCATGCACCACTAGTTATTTATAACAATCAGAATGAAATGAATTAAAGAGCTAATATACAATAACAAAGCTATAATTGAAATAATAATAGGTAGAGCAGGGCACAAAAGCCCAACTTGACTTTCAGTAATTATAGTGTCTACTCCAAACCAAATGAACTACATTACAACGTATAACATGTATCAAACAATGTTCAGTAAAATTAAGTTAATTCCAAATTGTAGAAATATGTTTTTTATTAGTTTTCTAAAATTTCTTATCTGTCACTTTTTACCCAATAGACAGGTGTAAAAAGGAACAACCAGCGGCAAATAGATACAATATCTTGTTTTAAAATTTAAAGGAATTTTATGGAATAATAGCTACATCTACATTACTTAACCAATGCGAAATACAAATTTTATAAGCACACATGTATATAACCTTAGTATTTTGGTATTTTGTCTAAAATATTCATCAACAGAGTTGGAATACTATTAATTTATTTCTTGTAAAATTGCGTTTTTTATTTAACTTAATTTATATTTCATTTACTATTTGCCAGTGTAAAGGTTTAGCTGGTTCTTTGCTACTCATCCACATGTAACCTTTTATGTATGTATGTTTTTTATATTATAAGTTGAATCTAACTTAAGAATAACAATATATCGTCTAAAACGTGAAACGTAGATGTACATATAACTGACTCCGGAGGTAGTCAACTGTAGTTTGTACTAAATTTAACATTCAACCCTTTGCTCTTTAAAACAAACCAACAATTTTCAATATTGTTCGACTTGTTGTTTAATACATTGCCTGATTGCAGCCTGCTCCTGGTCCGTACGACCACAGCGTGGATGAGCGCGAACATACTGTGGAGCAGTGGAAAGAATTGATTTACCAGGAAGTAATGGATTACGAGGGACGCGGAAGCAATAATGAGGTAGCAGCGGAGGCGGCCGCCCAGCGGTAGACGTGCGGTAATTTCGCTATAGAAAATTAATAATTTGATTCAATCACTAGTTCATTTGGACAAGTATAACATTCTGAATTATCATTCTTTGGGAAAATAGACTTAGTTCAATTGTGTCTTTTGCTTGTTTTGTTTGAAAATAATCTTATTAATATTGCACTTGATTACAATTTGGTTGTTAAATGGCTCTCAAGCTATAAATTTATAATGAAATATTGTTGTTTATTTTAATTACCATTTGTTTGGATAAAAAAGATTGTTATTGGTAAACCACTTTTGAATAATAACATTTTCTCCTATTTTTTCTAGTTTCTAGTATATTTTTATCAGAATTGTGTGAGTTTTATTAAATTATTTGTTGGCGTATGATAAAATGTGCAATATGATTTAAATTCAATCAGTGAAAAATGTTAAAAAGAGTGTGAACAATTGTAAAACTTTTTGAAATATGTGTGTGAATTTTTTGTGCAAATTGCTAAATTGAACAATACATTTGGAAGTGGGCTATGAAAAGTATAACTTTAAGATTTATGTATCATGTTTGTATTTCAGTTTTAATATTAAGATGCCATTTATTAACTGTTTCAAAAAACGAAAATTAGTGATATTTAAATAGGTAATAGATAGCATATTTATAAACTTTTTATTTATTTAATGTAGTTAATAATAATATATATTAACTATACATCATTAAAAACAAAATGTAATATTTGTAAGTAACATCTTTCGTATTTTGTTAATAAAAATTTAATCTTGATCTATGAATAACTAATAACTAATGTATTTGAATTAACACAATTTTATTTTAATATTTTTTGGTGACCTTCTAAAATTAAGATACTATTCAAAATAAATTAATAATATTTAAATTGATTACTCTTTCTTTAGATTATTTTTTATAAGGAGTTTTTAATTTTTTGCGAGTATAGCACCTTGGCTATTTATATAATGTATGAGTCTGTAATATTTAAAACAAACTGTCGTGTTTGATGTTTTTGTAGAATCTTTCATCATTTATTTTAGTAATATACTTAAGGATAATCATGAGATAGTTGTAATTAATAAAGCATACTGTCAGATATTAATTGACAATAGTTAACATACTATTCATTATAGAATATTTAATGATAAATAAATTGTAGTATAAAATATTTATACTCTTCAGTTTTTTTCAAAATAGCAGCATTTGCTATATTTGAAAGATTTTCAATGATTTGATTAATAATCTTATGTCAGCCTCAAATGGTACAATACTTTATTGTGACTGGAAAATCTGAACAATATTTGATACTGAAAGAGGTTTACTTTCCGTCACTGCTTATGGTTACATAAATGCTTGGAACTAACTTGTTGCAAAATTATCTTGTAAAGCATTATATTATTTTCTGAACTGCATGAATTATAAATTAAATATTTACTCAAATCTTGATAAATAATTTTTCGAATAAATTTATAATGTTTTTTATGTGTTAAGTAATAACATTAAATAATATTTATTGTGTTATAACTTTTGTTTAATATTTTCTCATCAATGTTCAGAAAATTATGTAATGCAATTTTTTAAGAAAAGATGCTGTTATATAAAAACTAGAATGTATGTATAAATTTTATAACAAGTTTCTGGCAGTTGAAGTATTTTATTTTCAATAATATTGTTCAGCTCTATTATTTATATGATAAACTGTATATATCACAAATCTATAATGCGTGATGTAATATGTGATGTATATATTTGAAAACAAGATCAATGATATAGTTTTGGTTTTAGATTAAGTTTAATTGAATGCATTTGTGCAAAAAAAAAAATTAAGTTTGTCAGCATATTGGTAGGACTAATTTGTTTAAACATGACATGCTTATTAACACTCTATTTTGAAATGATTAATGAATACACTAATATTTATATGCTGATAAAAAAACATATATTTTTATTAATTTTAACATTGGTAAATTTAACAGACTTGCGAGTCCATTTTTTTTAAAATAATTTGTTCATACTGATTAGATGGGTATTGTGAAAAAATGCAGAGAGATTTGTTTTATATAATCTATTTGAATCTATGATATAAATGTTGCAATCCATATGATCTCCTATTATAAACTACATATAATGAACGTCCATCCTATAAAGGCTTTATGATAATCTAAATAATAATTACAATGTGCATTAATTGTAAACACATACATTCTATTAACATTTTGTATGACAGTAAAATCCGTGGTGCAATTGAAAAAGAAATTCTAAATATATTTTCTTGAATCCTTTTAGAAAAATGGTTCGATTTTTCTTTGAATGCACACATGAACAGACAAATGAACTGTTTTGTTCTTAATAAAATTTTCCCTTTTATTCAAAATGTAAGTATGCATCCTACCTTTTATTTGTAAGGCTAAGTAATATATGCAAATACATATGAAAGTATATTGAATATAGAATCTAGGTAATTAATATTTGTAACTTGTTTTATGATGTTCATACAGCAGAGTAAAAATAAATAATGTATGTGAATAAACTGATGTGAATAATTTAAAAGAATGTGTATTTGATATTTCAACTGTAAACTACCTGAAACTTTCATAATGCAATGTGTAGCTTAGAGTAGATTAATATACAAAATTTAGTTGTAAAAGTAGTAGCAAGCAAAGTTATAGATCAAGAATCTACAACAGAAATCAAGATCTACAACTGAGTAAACCTGCTTAAAACTTTTTTTCTGCTGCCTAAATATATTACTAACAATTACTTCAAACATAAGAAATAGAGCTGTGATAAGCTCAGAAACTTGAGAAACAATTTGCTAACTATTGATAGTGATAAAACTGGTAATTAGAGCTTCATGTAATATATCTCAATTTGAACAACTATCATTTTGCATGAATAAGAACAAAATATAGTGATAAAATTAATTTGAGGGAGTTGTAGGGTCTAATTATACTATCTAAATCAAATAAGTAATTGCAAAAGGTATTTCATGAAGTTCATGAAGTACTATAGTTATCTGCTCTAAGTTTCATGAGCCCTGAAAAACGTTTGAAATGAAATAGGCAAAAATAAATAAGAAAAGGCAATAAGTTAGAAATGAAGGTCTTTGTTAATTAAAACTTCAAGAATATAATTGTTTCAAATAATAAGTCGTTCTGTGCAAAAATTATATATTTTGCCAAATATCTCATGAAAATAATAACAAACATGCAACTAGTTTAAATTCCATTTATTTTTAGATTCCAAACGATCAAATTGATATTTTAGCACTCAACTTGCTTTTAGAAAATAAAATTCTTGTGCTACTTCTGTTCTTTCGAGCCTTTTGAACTTTATCTTTTTTCATTTCATATCATCTTTTTTTATAATACAGAATGAAGATTGCAGTATAAAAATGTCGCATTAAACATTTAAAGTCAACCTTCTAATTTCATCACCCAATTAAATTTTTTTTATTATAAATCTTCACAAATATTGATATTCCTGTAACTTTTTAAGCCATGACGATAAAACATTGGAAAATGTGCAGATTGCAAATTGTTATTTAGATTTAGTATCTATGGGATCTAATTTTAGCACTAAAAATCACTTCGGTCATGTATTGAATATTGTTGATAGAAATTTAGTAAGGCATTTTGGTTCTGGTTCTGTAATGAAGATTTCCAGCATCCAGTAAGCAATGCAAATTTCGGTTTATAACGTGATTATTTCATCAATATCTTGGGAAAAAACAGAATTGAGTTGTGGCTTTTTTAAATGGCTTTCACATCGAACATTTTCATGTTCAAACATAATTAATACGCAGTCGCAGTAGGTTAACAACGTTAACAATAAATTTATCGAAATAACGCGTTGTTTTTTATTTTTTCGTCTTGTAAGTCATTCAAGTCTAACATATCGGTTTCGTACTATTTCAGAATAACAATCGCATAATATTTTTAATAATATGTATTACAAGTGCCAAGAATATACGTCATTAGGTGCTTTTAGAACATTTGGAAAAGATGAAAATGTAGAGAAACAGGTTTTTCTGTTTTTGGATTACTCAGGAATCTGTGCATATATTAGAGAATAAAACAATGAGTAATTTTTTATGATTTTTATAATAACGATGACAATGAGTTAGATTTTCACAGTTTGCTGAAGTTGAGAAAAAATAAAGAATATTTTATAGTAAAGTATATTACAATCAAGTATTATTAGAAGTTTTAGTATAATACAATATTTTTAAAGTGTAATTTAATAAATTTTATTTATAATCATTTTATAATTTATTTATGTAATCTCACTTTGACAGAAAAGGGGATGCCATTGTGTGAAAATACACAATTCTGGAACACTTCAGCAGAACAACATGCTATAATATGATATATTAATATATCACAAATATACCAAGGGAGTGAATTTTCTAGAATAAATAATATGTACTATTAAGGAAAAATATGTGCATTTCATCAGGTAAAAAAATGAGTTTTATTATCCCACCGATACAAACAATAATTAATTATAATTTAAATTGTAATATTTTATAGTTTGCGGGCGGGGCACCATACAGCAGCTACAGGGATGTTAGTGATCGCTTTTATATAACTTTAAGTACTTTGCAAGAAAAACAGCGAAGAGTTACTTTAACTAAAATCAAGAAAAATTATGATAGAAAGCACAGCATTAATAGTATTAAAACTGTGTATACATTTGGTATACCAAAACAGAATTCAGACAGCTGTATTATCTAAAACTAAGAGATATTAATCTGATTTATATATACACAGTATCATGAGCAAAATCATCAAAATGGGTAGAGGATATGGAATAGAGATCAACATCAACAAACCGAAAGTGATGAGAAATATGTGTTTGGGAACTGGATTGCAACCAGTACTGGAGAAGCATCCTGAATAGAGAAGGATACTGCACGACAGAGATTTAGGGCAAGAATCACGAAAAAGAGAAAGTTACTGACGAGCAAGCTGAGCCTAAACTTGTGCAAGAAGCTAATAAAATGCCTTAATTGATAAGCTTATGCCTAGAGCATAGCTTATTAGAGATTAGAGACATGGACTCTAATTAAATCTGAAAAATATTATCTGGAGAGCCTTGAAATGTGGTGCTGGTGGCGAATGGAGAAGATAAAGTAGGCAGATAGATATCAAGTGAAGTAGTGCTGAGAAGAGTGAGAAATTTACTGAGAATGTTCAATAAAAGGAAGACTGGATTGGACACATTCTGCATATAGAGTGTCTTTTACACTACGTCATCAATTGTAAAATAGAAGGAATATAATGATTAGGAAGAAGGAAAATGCAGATGATTGATGTTTGATGTGAGAACAGAAACAGAAAATGCCAAGGAAATGAAAGCCGAAGAACAGGGCCAAGAAGCATGGAAGTAGAAGTGAAGTGAATAATGATTTATGATGCTCCCACACACTTTTGGGCAGACTTCCATTTATATTATATATATATATATATATATATATATTATTATATATATATTTAATATGTGAGATGCTATAAAGTGAGCGCGTTGTTTAGCATTTGGTAATAGAACAGCAATTAAAGTAATGATTCTAGGCATTAAATAGGAAATTGTGCAAAATGTTTTTATTGTATTAAGTTCTTTATGGAATGAAAAGCTTTACTTAATGTTCAATGAGCAGTGCTTCTATTTCAAACCCTTTAGCGAGAATGACTCACTGGACAGTGATTGTGGTTTGACATTACTTTTAGAATAATGTTATGTATTCATAAAATATGCAATTTAAATGAATTAATAAATAAATTCAGGTATTTATGATGCTGTATATTTATTTATACAACATGTAATGTATATGTATTTAATTTAGAACCTCATATTTATTTCTCAACCTTTCTCCCTCCCTCTGAATTTCCATAACAGCTCTTTGGAATTTCAATGTGTCTTTCTTAATTCCCTTAAGAATCTTCCTTATTTGACGACGCATCTTTCTTTTTGTAGCTGAGCTTCCATGCTTATCTTCAACCGTATGTGTTCCTACAGCAGTCTCATTTTGTATGCGGTCTCGTACTCGGCCGCAAAATTTCGTTTTGTTCTTAAGATTATATATTTAGCAAAATGCGAAATTAATAAACATTAACAATATACTAATTACCTTCATCCATTATGTTCCAGTTATTCTCTATAATTCAGTATATAAAAATCGCTAAAACTCAATTCAACTCCTTTCGATTGTTTCAATACGAAACAGAATGAAACCGTACTGCATGCTGTTGGTAACAACAATTTGTGAACTGTCAATGTCACCAACATAATAAATGAATAGCACAATTCAAATCCATTTGAAAGTTACAATAAATATTAGCTAGTGGGGCGCATGGCATCGTGCCTTTAAGCAAATGCATGGAACTCCGTATCAAAAAAATTATTCTTTTTTAAAACGAATACATTTTTTGAAAAAAAAATAGATTTCAGAGAATTTTTTTCTTTATTTTGACATATTTTGGAAGATCTGAACTTTTTTTTCAAAGCAATCTTACTGCTTTAACTGCATGGAGACAATGTCTAATGATCATTTTTGACCGCTAAATGGCATTTTTTTACTTTTTTTTAGATCTCCGAAACCGCTAGACTGCCCTTATGAAAATGATCAATTATTCATCATGTTAATACAAGTAAAAGTTTTTTGGAAGTATTAAAATCGGACGCTTCCGTTCTCTAATAACTGAGTTACCGTTTTCGGCACTTTTTGCCTCATTTTTCTAAGGTATGCAAAATGTTCAGAAACCTTTGTAACGCAAAGATATATAAAAATTTTCATTTTCGATTTTTCTCGATTACTATATAAGGCCCTACGGAAAGTTAATAAATGATTGATTCGTAAATCATGATATTCGTAAGTTATATAATATGAATCATTATATTTTATTAATTAATTCGTATAATAATTATTCTTGTAGCTATATTTTATAAAAGAGATGTTTTTATTTTTTAAATAAACACATATTAGGTTGTCAAATATCTCCCTTTCGCTTTTGCTCTTGGTTTATAATACAAAAAGGCGGAAGGAGATATTTGAACCTTATATGTGATTTTTAAAACTATGATAAACTTTTTTACAAAGGCATCCATCCAGATAACAAAATAAAAAAAACTAAATTTTTTTTTTAAAAGTGAATTTAATGGTTCATACGTTTCGAGTCCCAATTGACTCTTCGTCAGTGGAACAAACAAGTAAATATGCACTAACACTAAACGAAAACGTTATAAATAATAATTGTTACTTAAGACATGTTAATGAAAAAAATAATAAAAATAAACATGAATTGTATTATAAAATTACTAAAAAGAAAAATAATAAATTTGGACTTCATACATAGTGTGTAATATATATGTGTTGTCGTAAACTGGTTGAAGACATAATGGAGAAAAGATTTTTTTTAAATATTTCTACAAGATTCTACACATTGAATAATTGCGAATCTTTTGCGCGACCTTATTTTATTGCTCTGTGAGAAATTTGGAAATGCTATCTAAATAAAAGGAGATTGTGTCGCACAGCGTGTTAAGTTCAATTGTTTATTTATTGTGTTATTGTTATAATAGTCAAAAAAAGATCCTTTATAATTCTTTTTTAAAATAAATTTTGTTCGAATTGAAGTACAGTCGGGTTAAAAAGTCTATATGTGTTTTAAAGTATTAAGTGGTCCGCAAGCATAGTTTTAATTGTCTGGGATTTTTTGAATTATTTTGTGTGTGTTTAAATATTTAATCAGTTCTGGCTCGTTCTCCTATGTGAATTAAATTACAGTCCAGACAATTGATTTGATAGACGAGATTTCTAAGCCGTTCGATGTTACAAGAGGTTTTGGTTTTGGTAAAAATAGTGCTAGTCATTGTACTTAAGTAGTTTACAAGTAGGAGTCCAGAGTTATAAAAAAGTTTTTTTTTTTCAAGAAACATACAGTTCTTTAATGTATGGCAGACATATTACACCAGAGTGAGTCCGAGTCTCTGAGTCAGGGTAAATCGTTATCTACTGTGGAATTGTCAAT